GTCCCGCCCCGTCCCGCAGGCGAGCACCATTAATTACACGGGGCCGAGCAGTGCAGAACGTCGAAAACAATAAAGATCCTCGAATCAAGTCGGCCATTCTGATGCAGTAGCGAACAACGTAACAACAAACTCACTCGCGCTGCAGGAATTCGGGGAGGAGTGCCGCTCCGTGACGGGAAAACACAAGATATTACTGAAGCAGTGAGCGAGGAAAGGGAGGGGGAGGGAGGGGCTCCACCTGAAACCCAAAGCAATGAGTGACGGACTGCGAGCCGAACCGATAGTGAACCACAGCAACCTTCTCCTTTGCAAATGTCGTTATGAGTTCTCTCTAAAACGTACTAGTTTTATACGTGTCCCCCTCTGTAAGCCACTTCTCTCACACTCTGTAAGTCAGAGGAGGAAGAGACTGATTTAAGCTCACGCTAAAGAGGCGAAGGGATTCCACGTGAAAATAGGTATAATTTTTCAGGCGTCTTTCCCACATGCAGCCAGTCCAGGAGGCGCTGCTGCACCGCAGGTGAGTGCCCGCTAGGCACATCGTCGTCGCCAGAGGAGGAGTTGACCAACATTTTCAAGTCAAAATTCCAAGATTGAGCAGCCGGTTTGGTATACCCTGTTTGGTTGTTGTTTTTTTGCAGTGGAGGCGTGCGTGTCCCTGCCGTCGGAAGTTAGCCGATCCGCTATACGCACAGTATAGAATCGCACAACTGGCCGTGCTCGCCGAGCGTCGGGCGTGCGCTGGACGTGACCATGCATGCCGTGTGGCACGTGAGGACTCGCCGCTGCTGCGGGGCGCACCCAGCCGGCCGCCGCCACTCCCGGCCCGGCCCGGCCCGATCCGGCCAGGCCCGGCCAGGCCTCCAGTACAAAATATCTGCAATCCACGAGGGCGGAGGAGTCCCTGGCGTCTCAAGCCCTCGCGATTTTAAAGAATTGAAGAATGCAGCTGAATTCACCCTAGGGGGGCGACGCAATAATCGGAGTTTTCGAAGTCTGTGACTTTTTACGGAAGTTTCCATTTCCACTTCAAAGGAGCAATTTTTTTGACTTTACATGACGACAACCTAGCTCCTATATAAGCTTTAGCTCATCACACAACAGAACTCGCGTCGTAGAACCTGCGTCATCAAGGAGGGACATGCTATTGACTTGTGCACAGCTACATTGCTAACAAACTTCACTACAAAAGTGTCATATGTCATTTTCATCAATTTCTTATTAACACTACACACCTGCACCAGGCAACACCTGCGCACGGGAGCAGTGGGGCTGCCTAGTAGGCAAGCGTCGTCGATACGGCCTCTTTACATGCAGGATTTTTCGTTCCAACTTCTCTTGCCGCTCTGGTTGAAAGCCCGAAATGGTATTTTCGTGTGTGCCTCTCAGTGCGCCTTGGGCGGGAGGAGGCGCGCTATCAGCACGTCGTGCGGCCCAATAACCGGCGCCTGAAACGCCGTAAGTCATCGGCCGCCCCGACCCAGTTGCGTCGGTCACCTGGCGGCACGTCCAAGCGGCAGCGCGGGCCGTCCCCGTCAACCACCCGTCCGAGGCGGGTCAGTCAGTCCACACCATGGCGTCGCGGAGCCTGCGCTGCGCGATGCGCTGCGTCCCCTGGGCGCTGCTCCTGCTCGCCGCCGGACGCGCCGCAGCCCAGGACGAGTGAGACCAGACCGCGGACAGCGGCGTGCAGCACACTGCCGGGGTGCCCCGTAGCTGGACGACTAAAGGGTCCTCGCCCCAGTGAGAACCGGGCGGTGACCTAAGTCGGGTCATATAACGACTTGAGCCCGCCTCAAGGGCTCAAGTCCCCGGGCTCAAGTCGTTATAACCCTAAGTCGCCCACTTACTGGACAGCGTGAACCCACTCTAAACTCTTCTCGCTCCGTAGTGCCGGCTCCAGCTGCGTGTTTATGGACGCGGACATCGAGTGCCCGGCCACGCTACCCTACCGACCCGTGGACGGCTCGTGCAACAACCCGCGGTACCCGTGGCTGGGCCGCGCCAACACCCCTCTGTACCGCCTGCTGCGCCCGGCGTACGCCGACGGTACGGCAGGGCCGCGCACCCATAGCGGACAGCTGTTTCGAAAAACACGTTCAGTTATTGTCTCGTTCTCGTTCGTTGAGATGCCTGAAAACGCAATTTTCAGGGCGAGCTGCCCCGCGGCGAGGACACCGAGGACGGGCGCTGCCGTCGGCGCGGGAGGTGGTCGCGCGCCTCATGCCGCAGGTGAACCACGAGCACCTCACCACGCACCTGTTCGTCATCCTGGGGCAGCTCCTCAGCCACGACGTTGCGCGCATCGACGCGCCCAAGAACCAGGGTGGGTTCGCCTGTCTGGGATGTGGGGGCGTTGTAAGGAGTGAGGTACACCTTTTCAGGGTTGTTTCCCTGTTTTGATGTTTAAGCTTTGTTACTGATTTAAATAGCATGCAAAGCTTTCTTCTCATAAGGGGGGGGGGGGTTATGACGAAACATCGAGGTGGGTGATCTGCGCCGTCCTTTTTTCTAGGTATACTGTACTGGATTCAGGCGCGCGGGTGGTTTGCATACTCGCACGGGGTCATAAGGCACACTCGGCGCGGATCACCCACCCTTTACAAAAAGCCTACCGCGTCTAATAGCAATTTTACGGTCAGGGTAGGGATAGGATAGCCTTATCATTTGCTCCTCAATGAGCCATGAGCCCTAAACTTGGGTAATTGAGACACTCTCTTACTGTAACCGAGCGGCAACTGTATTTACTTTCGTGCCCGGATTAGCGACGGGGCCGTGCTGTAACACGGGCCGAGGCGGCGCGGACGACACCTGCATGCCCATCCCCGTGCCGGCCGACGACCCCTTCTACCAGCACCTCCGCGTGCGCTGCCTGCCCCTCACCCGCACCAACAGCACGACGTGCCACAGCGCGCACGCAGAGCAGGTACTCTAGCAGGTGCCTGCGCCTTGAGCAGGTAGTACCAGCACACTGGGTAGGTAGGCAGGTACCCGCACCCTGAGCAAGGTACTCTGAGAAGGTACCTGCGCGCTAAGCAGAATGATATTCGGACGCTGACAACAGATAGCAATTGGGTCAGAAAAGCATCCGTTTTTTTCATGTCACTTGCACGTGGCATTGTGGGGTGCGCTTCGTGACTGTCGGGTACACCCCAATTAAAACTCTGTGTCATCATTACGACTCGAGCCAAAACTAAAGTCACGACGCGTCGTTTTGACGTATATCACGTTAATGACATTTTCTTTGAGTACGTGACCACTTATAATTGTGGCCAGAACGTTGAGAATGGCCACAGGCAGTCACGGTCTATCGATTGCCAATTTCCTGGCGACTCTGTAACTTGCTTAAGTATACTTCTTGCTTAAAATTTAAGATTCTAAAACTGAGCAACGTAGACCAATGATCTCATAAACGACTGCCGACCTCACGCCGTGTTCCCAACAGCTGATCTCCGTGACGCACTTCTTGGACGCGTCCTTCCTGTACGGCTCTGACGGGGCCACGTCCGCGCGCCTCCGCTCCGGCGAGGGCGGCCGGCTCCGCGCGCGCGTCGTGGACGTCGGCCGGGGCGACTTCGGCCAGTTCCCGCCGACGGACGAGGCCTCCGCCGACCTGTGCACCAACTCGTCGACGACGTGCTACTTCACCGGGGACGAGCGCGCCAACCAGAACCCCATGCTGGCCGCGCTGCACACGCTGTTCCTCCGCGAGCACAACCGCGTCGCCGGCGCCCTGGCCGACCGCAACCCCCACTGGGAGGACGAGCGCACCTTCCAGGAGGCCCGGCGCGTCGTGGTGGCCGAGTGGCAGATCATCGTGTACCGAGACTGGCTGCGCTGGCTGCTGGGTAAGTGAGGACCGCTAAGCAAGGCCAAAGGTCAAAATTTGTGGAAACACATTTTTTGACCGTCTTCCGGTTAACGGCGGAACCGATAGACGCATTGAGTGACTACGAGGGGGAAATATGGCTCCGATATTTCGAGTACTACGGTTTACCCTGGATTATTGCTCCTTGATTATTCTCGGTCGCCCCCATGTTTACCACCCCCGGATATCATGCGGTTTTCTTCCGGGTTGCCTCACCCAGGAAAATGAAAAGTTAGTTGTAGCGAGCCATCAATAATTGGTCTCTCGAGAGATAACCATGAAATAAATGTCTGAGACAACGATCCTCTGATGATAAAAACCGCATTTTTGGTTGATAGCCTTGTGCTGTTGGTGCTATAGACCTGCATCGAGCGAGTTACGCGAGCTATACAGGCGAGAGGGGGGTCGGGGTAGGCATATTTAGCTCGCGTAGCTCGCTCTCTGCAGGGCTCTAGTTGGTGCCTAAACCATATTTTATGGTTGTGCCTGAGGTAACCATTCGATGGTTGCCACAGCTTTTCACTCGGAATGCGACGTGAACGTGCCACGATGTGCTTGCAGGCGAGGACCGCGTGCGCCGGCTGGGGCTGGTGCCCCGCGGCCCCACCGCGCGCTCCCAGTACTTCCCCGACGTGGACCCGCGCACGGCCAACGACGTGACCACGGCGGGCTTCCGTTCGCTGCACAGCATGGTGCAGGGCCACTTCTGGCTGGGCGCGCGCGGCCGCCGCTCCGAGACCCTCACCGAGTGGTTCGACAACTCGGCGCCCGCCCTGGAGCGGCCGCTCGGGCTGCAGCGCGTGCTGGAGGGGTTGGTGCACCAGCAGGCGCAGGACCTGGACCGCTGGATGGACGACGAGGTACTTGTTGGTCATTTCAAACCGAACGTGCAAGTAGGAAACAACCGTGGATCTGGACCGAACGTGGCTCGTTTGATCGTTAATTTGGCTACCATTCAAACAAGCTGCGTTCTGTCGGTCCGCCAGAACCGAGGTCGGTAATCTCAGAAGAGTCTCGTCCTCAAACGTCCAGTAGTTTTGAACGGATTGAAACACCCGAACCTCCGCTCACTCCTGTGTTTGTACTTTTGGTTGGACCCCACTCCCCCCCTCCTCCCCTTTGCTCCCATGCCCGCCTCACACCGCTTCCTTGTCCTCCAGATCACCACCAAGTACGAGCCGGTGCGGACCCGGGCCGGCCGGCCGTGGGGCACCGACCTCGCCGCCATCGACGTCCAGCGCGGCCGCGACCACGGGCTACCCAGCTACGTGGAGTACCGGCGGCACGCAGGCCTGCCCGAGGCGTTCGACTTCGACGACCTGCTGGACACCATCAGCTGGCAGGTGAGCCTCGCTACGGTGACATTGTTCCGAGTGGTGTGCTCCCGTGTCCTGGGCTGACAGTACTTATTCGGGTGTACTCTCTGGGTGTACTCAACGAACTCCGAGTGTACACTCAAGATAGTCCGAGTGCACTCCTGGTGTATGTACTCCGTGTGTACTCCGAATACTCCGGATCTACTCCGGATTTACTCCGTGTACTCCGAGTGTATATTGCGGTCCGGCGTCCCCCTAAAATTTGAGCCGTCGACCTCTCGCCATTTTTCCCGCTCGCTGTTCACATGGTGCGTATTCGTTGCACTGCCACATTGTCACATGGAACCTCCCACCAGGACGTGCGCGACCTGCGCCAGGTGTACGACCACGTGCGCGACGTGGACTACTACGTCGGCGGACTCATGGAACGCCGCGCGCCCGGGGCGTTCCTGTTCGGGCCCAGCTTCCAAGTCATGCTGGAGGACCAGTTTTGGCGTTGGAGGTTCGCCGATCGGTTTTTCTACAATTTTGCCGGGTTTGCACACTCGCTAACGCCAGGTAAGAACAAAAGAGCACAAAGGAAGAATCTCCCCTAATTTTTAAATAATTATTTTACTTTTGTGGTACCGTGGTAGAGCAAATATGGGCGCTCGAGGGCACCTCCGTGGGGAGGCTGCTGTGCGACAACGTCAAGGACTTTCACTATGTTCCGCGTGATCCTTTCGTGAAAATCGGATACCGAGGGTGAGTAGTTTTGCTTTTTTTCTATTTTTATGCCTCATACTTTGTTTACAATTGTTTTTTGCTAAATCTATTAACAGAAATGAAAATGTCCCGTGCGAAAGCCTCCCGAAAGTGAATTTCGATGTCTGGAAGGAATACAAGGATGGGACCGAAGAGCGTCAGGAGGAATGGGACAGTCCTGAAGAGATGGATCCTTGGCGACGGGACGACCAGTCCGGGTGGCAGGACGGACCCGGGTGGCACGGCGGACACGGGTGGCACGGCGGACACGGGTGGCAGGACTGGTGATGGGCGGCAGGTCACCCCGACTTGGGCGGCCGGCCTCGCCACGCCCGCAGGTCCATGGAGGGCAGGTCTCTGCACGACACCTCGTGGTTGCTGGGAGCAGAGAACCGCGTGACGGAGGAGAGTTAGTCACCCGGTCAAAAAAGTAACTGCCCGGAAATCAGTGACTGCCGTTCTGAAACCCAAGCACCAAGTGCCTGATTGTCAGTCGGGAGCGGTAATCTCCTGGCGGTCGCCCTTACCGTGCAGTATGGAGCCCGGGCGCCTGGCAGGTAGGCAGACCTCCGCGTGGAGCACACGGCTGCACGGCGGGTCGGCCTACCCGCAGGCGCCCGGCCGGGCCCGGCGCCCGTCCTCGCTCGCAGAGGGCAGAGAGAGAGAGCAGAGCTTCCGCCCCGGGGTTTAGTTTTAACGCCGTGTATAAATTGAAAAAAAAATATAATCGAAGCAGCTGTTAGTCCGCCTCGCGGGAACCATTACCATAGGTACCCCGTGCACCCAGCCCCCACCCCATCGAGGTTTTCAACACCTCCTGCACCATTGAACGAATTCGTCGCATCGGCTCGCATGGGTGACTCTGACGCACACGCACCCCACGCACTCACCCTAGGACGCCGAGGTTGAGGAACACGTCGTCCGGGATCGTGGTGACGCCGGGAGTGTTGTCGCAGATGAGGCGCGACATGGTCACCTTGCGGAGCTCTTGCAGCTGGGCTGAAACACACGCAGGCGGCAACAACGGCAACTTGAACAGCAGCACCAACACCAACGACAAAATGACAATAATAATCGGACAATTATTGGTTACCTGGCGAAAAGCCGAACTCGCGCTTGTTGAGGTCGAAGAAGAAGCGGTCGCCCCTCTTCCATCGCTTAAACTGCTGGACGATCACGCACCGGAAGGTGGGGGATGTGATCGTGGCGAGCGGGTTGCGATCGTCGATCTGCTCCAGGAGCCCCCCGACCAGGAAGTCGACGTCGTCGTGGTTGTCGTACACCTTGCGCAGCAGCGCGATGTTCTGCCAGCAGCGGGAGGGCGGTATGAGCGCGGGGCCGCCGGGGCGGCAGGCAGCCCAACCGGCACGCCCGCCCGCCCTCAGCGACTGACCGCCCGCGTCCACTCACCTCGGCGGAGATGGTGTCGTTGAAGTCGTCGAAGCTCTCGGCGCGCCGCAGCCGGCAGTGCTCGCGGTACTCGTTGTAGCTGGGCAGGCCGTGCTCGCGGCCGCGCTGGATGTCCACGGACATGAGGTCGCTGCCGAAGGCGTTGCGCCCGCGGAACATCTTGTTGGTGATCTGCGGCCGCGGCGGTCATCAGAGCGGGACTCGAAGCGCGGACCGGCCGAGGCTTTGCCCGGGTAGGGGGGACTTACCTCCTCCGCGATGAACTGGTCCTGGCGCTGGCGCGGCTGGTACACCAAGCCCAGGACGGTGCGCTTGAAGGACACGGGGTGGAGGATGGCGTCCGCGGTCACGTCGCTCAGCAGGCGGCGCTCCGGCCGCGAGTCCTTGCCGTCCGTGAACCTGCCCAAACGACACGAACCACTTAACACGCCAGCTTACAAGTGCACAACTATCGAGTTGAACACTTACAAGAGTGTTGGACGGTTCGCCACTCGGTTAATCAGAGAACTCGGGTGTGGCTGGTTTGCGTCTCACCAGACGTCGTTGGCGATCATGGAGTGGAAGCTCCGATAGGCCCCCGAGGTGAAGTCGTTCGCCGTCGTGGCGTCCACCGTGTGGTCGTAGTCCGCGCTGCCCAAGCGCAGCGAGGGCAGCAGGCCTTCCTTTTGCACCACATCCGTCCCTGGGAATTCAGGGATGCATCTCTGAGGGGGTGCATCAAATAGTGCACTTCGAATAACGGAGGAAGAGCAATTGCGAGTAGAACACGAAACTTCCTGATTGCTCGAGCCTTTACCCCTGTGGCGTGGAGTTCTCGGTCTATCGGGAACGTTTCAGTTCTACGCGCTCGCTCTCCTTCCTCCCATGTTAGCCAAAATGCACTGTAGCATGCTATCTGCAGATTTCCACTCATTGCAAAAGTTATGATGCATGCATTCGTCGCAACGACTCTACGGAGGATTCTATTTGCAAAACTGACGTCATTTCTATAATCGGTGACGAATCGACGGCGAATCGATATAGAATTTCCCAAAATTCTGAGGTCTGGACCTACCAATGAGCCACTGCAGCCAGTCCCGGTAGGTGAGCAGCTGCCACTCGGCGATCACGATGCGCCTGGCCTCCTGGAAGAGCTCCTCGTCGGACCAGTCGAGGTTGACGCTGGCCAGCCTCCTGGCCACGCGGTTGTGCTCCCGCATGAACAGCGTCTGCAGTGCGGCCAGCATGGGGGTGATGGTGACCCGCCCGTCACCTGCAAGTGTCGGCACAGCGGGGCGGTCAGAGACCAATGGCAGTCACTCACAACAATATCGTTCTGACGCAAGAACGACATTGAAATTGACATATGACATGACAAAACGATGAAAACTAGAGGAGGAAACTAGTGGAAACAATGTAGAGTTCTATAGTGTAGATGCATGACTTCCGTACAGACCCACGTGAACTATATTTACAAAATAGGCTATTTCAGAGCTGGACGTTGAGAAGTAAAATGGAAGAACAAAAGGGGGACTGCGCACGCGCAGACGCCTTCCACCTCATCCCCTGCTACCCCCACTCTGCGTCTGCCGTGCGCCTTTTCTTCTTCCATTTTACTTCTTTACGTCCAGCTCCGAAATACACTAAAGAACATAACATTTCGCTGTCATGGAGGAAACGACATCCTCTCGGCGTTGTAGCCTAATGACAAATTATAGGCAATACCAGGGAAAATTGTAAGAAATGCCGTAAGTAAATCGCAATTAGTGACCGACTGAGAGGTGCTACGTCGTTTCGCAATACGTGTCCAGATTCGCCTGAAGACGCGTCAATTTCTGTTTTGTGCAAAACCATAGCGTAGCACCCGGTAGCACTTCTCAGTCGCTCACAAATCACGTGACGTGGCGGAATCGCCCTCATAGTGTATTTCGACTAACAGAGGAAGAAGAATAGCGGGTAGAACATAAAGGTTCCTGATTGGCCGAGCGCCTACCCCCACTACCGGCGTGACGTAGAGGCGGGAAGCTCTCGGCCAATCGGTAACGTTTATGTGGTTTATGTTCTACCCGCTGTTCTTCTTCCTCCGTTAGTCGAAGTACACTATTGCCCGTTCCTGCTCACCTGCCTCCATGCCGCCGTTGGCCCCCCGGGGGAGGAACTCGTCGGCCTGGATGAACTGGGTGCGGAGGCGGCCGCCGCGCCGCTCACGGAGGTGCAGGGCGACGTGCTGGTCCGAGCCGTACACGAAGGAGGCGTCGAGCCAGTGCGTCACCAGGTTCGTCTGCTCGTGCGCCGCAGTCTGAACAGGGACAGAACAGCGGCTGTGATCTCCCAACAAACGGCGAAACGTCACGAGGACGTAATATTGACGTGTTCAATCAGGCCAAAATTAGGCGAAAAAACGAGGAATTTTGACGTGAATATGGCCTGTTTGACCCATGGCTTCTCCAATCGCCATGGCTCAGCTAAGCCGGATGCAAAGCCCTCGAATAAAGCATCCCGGTAAATCTGAAATGCAGAAGAATACGGGGAACAAGGAAACGGAAGTCACCATGTTAGAGCATAGTGATTTCCATTTTCTTCTTCCCCGCGTTCTTCTGCATTTCAGCTTTACCGGAATGCTATGGGAGCTGCGCTGAGCTCACCCTGCAGGGGGCGGACGCGGAACGGTCCACGCCGATGCACCGCACGCCGAAGCGCGAGTAGAACGAGTCGTCCGCCGGCACCGGGATGCGGTCGCACGAGTCCGTCGTGTTGGTCACGGCGCAGCACGCGCTGTTGGCTGCCGGGGACAGACAACACCATCAGACCAGTCTGACACAGAAGCAAGAAGCAGAGAAGTGAACTAGCAAAATTAATTTGGGTATGTCGAAATTCGGTTGATTCAGGACGACATCCACTCCATGACCTCCAAACCGATGCTAAATACCAGGTGGCTGATTCACGCCACGCAATTTCATAGCTATACTTCAAAACAATTTTGATACCAAACAAACTCGATTGCTCAATTTCGACTGGGCGGTGCGCACTTACGGCGGGGGAACGAAGCCTGGATGCGGGAGACGTCGTGCGACACCAGCTGCGCCCAGGTCATGACCATGATGTTGGACACCTTGCTGGGGACGTCTCTGTCCTGCAGCAGGGTCGTGACGATGCGGCGCGCGCTCGGCAGGATCTGGTTCGAGTTGGTTCTCCGGGGCGAGTGGATTCCTTCCCGGTGATAGCAATCGAAATCAAGGCACACGTCGAATCGACACAGAAACGATATCATGAGGTAGAAACGGGTCGATTTCAGCACCATTCTAGATTTAACACGTTCAGTACGACACGACCACACGCGACCACTATGTGGTCATGCTCTCATAGTAAGTCAAAGGCACCGATTGTCAATTCGACATGGCATCTGACAATTGTCTTACATCCATTATATCGACCTGATATCGTTTTGATATCACCCTTCCTCACTAGATGAGAAGAGGATAGCGGAGGGTACAGAGGAGCACGATGGGCTGCCTACCTCCCGGGCGGCCCAAGCGCATGGCAGTGGTGGTGAATCACCGCTGCGGGCAGACCTACCGTTGGCGTAGTTGGGCTCCAGGACCCTGAGCAGCGGCGTGTTGGACTTGCCCATGGTGGTGTCCACCTGGTTGTTGCAGGAGCCGTCGAACGTCCGGTACTGGTTGGACTCGGCGTTGCAGAACGCGGGCCTGGTGAAGGGGCACCTGGACGGACACGCAGCCGATAGAGAACCAGTCCGTGTCACAAGCCTCAAGGCGGACCTAAAGGCGGACCGCGCGTCGTTACTCACCGGGCACTCTGCACTCGGGCGGCCCCCAGCACCGCAAGCAGGACAGGTAAACAGTGCCATCCTCTGGAAACAAACGCGGAAGAATAAGCAAGGGTAAGAAAAAGAAAAGTGCGTGATTAAAAAATACACACAGGCGGGAAGTGGTTGTTTCAGTAGCAGGCAGAGAAACAAACAAAGTGAAACTTTTTGTGTCAATAATGGAGTAATGGGCTTTGCTATCGTTCAGCCGAAACAAAAAGTTCAAAGTACATATAAATGGAGAGAATGAATTGTTTCAGACTTATTTCGACTTGTACTAAAGATATTATATCGGGAGTGGGTGATTTTTTATTTTTTTTTGGTAAATAAGATGCATCACTATTAAAACATTAAGGACCACGCACGCACGACGGTGCAAAATGTCAGCTTTGATTCGGAATCCAAGAGGATCTGACTGAACGTCTTCGTGATTATTTTAGCTTTGGTCTTCATGGCAGCTTTACTTTCCACCCCACTAGGCCCAACCCACCCCTCAGGTGACAGCTTTTCTCTTGGACTCTTCCAGGACCGTCTCCCGGGCCACATCTTCTGATTCACACCGTTCCTGTCAGACCCGTCCCTCAGGCAGCAGCTTTTCTCTTACACCACTCCAGGCCCGCCCCTCAGGCAGCAGCTTTTCTCTGACACCACTGCAGGCTCGACCCTCAGGCAGCAGCTTTTCTCTTACACCACTCCAGGACCGTCCCTCAGGCAGCAGCTTTTCTCTTACACCACTGCAGGCTCGACCCTCAGGCAGCAACTTTTCTCTTAAACCACTTCAGACCCGCCCCTCAGGCAGCAGCTTTTCTCTTACACCACTCCAGGCCCGCCCCTCAGGCAGCAGCTTTGCTCTTACACCACTGCAGGCCCGCCCCTCAGGCAGCAGCTTTTCTCTTACACCACTCCAGGACCGTCCCTCAGGCAGCAGCTTTTCTCTTACACCACTCCAGGACCGTCCCTCAGGCAGCAGCTTTCCTCTTACACCACTGCAGGCTCGACCCTCAGGCAGCAACTTTTCTCTTAAACCACTTCAGACCCGCCCCTCAGGCAGCAGCTTTTCTCTTACACCACTCCAGGACCGCCCCTCAGGCAGCAGCTTTTCTTTTACACCAACCCAGGACCACCCCTATCACCCCTCATGAACCAGCTTTTTCTTAGGCTCCAGGTGATCCAGCAGCTTATGATGTAAACCACTCAAGCCCACCCCTCAGGTGGCAGCCTTTGTCCTGCACCGGCCCTGCTCTGCTCTGTGGCCAGCAGCTATTCTCTTCATTACAGAAACTCCTCTTTTCATCGATACTATCTTCACACAAGCTTGCATCGACGATGGATGTAACGTCGAAAGGATTCATAAAGAATCTTCGAATCCTGAAAATGTTTCCAGCTTATCTTTCCGCTGGATTGTTTTACCTGGCTCGTGACATGCTATCCTCCTAGGGCTGCTACTGGGACAGCGGTTCAAACCAGACTGGAATGAATTTGGCACCGCGGGGGGCTTAAAAAACTTTTCGGGCGGGGAGCACCACCACGGCCGAAGATAGCCTTTTCCGCCTCAACCCTGGGCTGGCAGCGCTTGTAGCCTTATCGTGTAGTACGGAAAAGTAAAATAAATAGGCCGACTCCTAATTATTTTTTTTGTGGGTAGGGGGCAGGCCTCATGTTGGAAGGGAAGTTGTCGGGGCGGACAACGAAAACGCCCGGCGTGGTGACATTTCCTTCGTGATAATGGGATAGGTGGTGGTGCTAAGTGGGGGGTTAATCAGAGTTATCTGCCACAAGGGCGGCGCCGCGTTATGTTGGGTTGCCTATCTACTGTGCCGCGGGGACAGCGGGGACCGCGGGGACCAACGTTACGTTGGCGAGATGCGTGAAGAACAAACGCACGACAGCGCCATCTCGTCAGCCAACGGCAAAATGAGTTCACTTCAGATACCCTTTCGCCGCCGAA